ACATTCTCGCTTCCGCTTCGTCCACACCTGCTTGCGCGGGCGCTTCCCTCTAAGGCGGAACGCTCCCCTACCGATGCATTTTGACATCCCACAGCTTCGGCAGATCGCTTAGCCCCGTTCATCTTCGGCGCAAGAGCGCTCGATCAGTGAGCTATTACGCACTCTTTCAAGGGTGGCTGCTTCTAGGCAAACCTCCTGGCTGTCTCTGCACCCCTACCTCCTTTATCACTGAGCGGTCATTTAGGGGCCTTAGCTGGTGATCCGGGCTGTTTCCCTCTCGACGATGAAGCTTATCCCCCATCGTCTCACTGGCCGACCTTGGCCCCTGTAATTTTGGGGTTAAATCTAGTATTCAGAGCTTGCCTCGATTTGGTACTGCTCTCGCGGCCCGCACCGAAACAGTGCTTTACCCCTAGATGTCCAGTCAACTGCTGCGCCTCAACGCATTTACTTTAAAAGCACGAGTTTAAGAAAATCTTTCTATGGTCAATATTACTCTTCTCTAATTTGAATATTACATTTAAATTTAATCTATTCTAATTCTAATTATATCTTATCTAATCCCACATGAACAATTTATAGCTCAATAATTTAAAAAAAGATTAACAAACTACATGAAATATTATTTTAAATTTTTTATTTAAATCTTAATCTATGTAAATACTAATTAATCCTATATTAACTCCGCATGAACTACCTATAGCTCAGCAATTTTAAAAAAATAAGATTAAGATTTAATTCAAAAAATACACAAAATATCTTTAAAAGTTTAAATTACCCAAAATACCTTGACTTTTCAAAACATAAAACAACAAATATGAAATTTAAAAATTAAAAATAGCCCTCGAGGAATTTAAAAAGTGCAATTACACCCTCAATATTTTTAAAATTATAGAAACAATCTCAAAAGTTCAAATTAGAAAAAAACACCCTAAATTCAGTGACTTCAAAACTTACAAACAACATAGATAGATTTCAGGGATTACCATTAGGCTCTTAAAAACTTAAAATTTATAATAAATAACCTCAAAGTTACATAAACTACAAAAACTCCCTCAAAATTTAAAAATCACAAAAATCCTAACATTTTAAAGTTTATAACCGGTAGACATCACATCTGAAAATTATCAGTAGATTGCTAAAAATTTGAATTTATCAAAAAACAACTCAAACTTTTAGTAATTGTAAAAAACACACTTAAAATTTTAGAGTTGAAAGCCGCTTCTTAACATTTAAAAACTTACCATCAACTCATAAAATACAAAAATTACAAGCACCCAACATAAAATTTAAAATTTTCAAAAAAATAATATTAAAGTTAAAAAAATTACAAAACACACCCTCAAAAGTTTAAAATCACAAAATGCTGAAATTTGGCAATGAAATGAGTAAATGCTTGATATTATTTCATTAAGATATATAAATTTAAGTTTCAATTTAAAGATTATCATTCGTTTTCAGCATCTAAAAGTAGTCTAAGTTGACGTTGATAAAAAATAACAATTACGATAGATTAAAACTATCCAGTTAAGGAATAAAAATTTTAAAAATATATGATAGATTAAAAATTAACGTTACCGTATAAATTTAAGGAACTAGATATAATTTTAGTAATAACATTAATTGATAGAAGACTAAATTACATAAAACTAACAAAAGAATATAATATAATAAGTTAGCATTAATTGATATAATGTATAAACATTCATCTCTGATGTTGATAATATTTATAGAGTGAAAAAATACAATGAATTTTGCATGATAAAACTATCAAGAAGTTTAGAGATATCCTTTAAAAAACCAAGCTGTTTTTATTTCAAATAGAGAAGTGAAGTAAATAAACCCAAAATACGAAAATATTCATGAATCACTTCAACTAACTTTGACAAAAGGTATAATTTTTTCCCAATTAAAAAAAGCATTCATCGTGAAAGATACAAGAAAAATTAGTTTGTATTTATAAATTTTCATACTTTATTCTTGAAATACTAAATGAATCATAAACTTAATATAAAATTACATATAAATAATCTTACAATAAAAACTAAAGTGAAGTCATTGATCAACTATGTTGCGAGATATAATAAGCCAGATAAGATGAGAGAAATCATTATAATGGACAAAAGGTATATACATGATAATTAGTTACAATAGCGTAAGTAAAAAAATTAAAATTGATATTTTTCTTTTTCCTATATGTGGTATGACTCTGTAAGCAAATTTATTTGGGGAAATGACTACCAGTAAAGGATTAGTTTTTTAAAGACACGATCAATGATAAGCACATAATGACACTATTAGATTTCAAGTTCTTTAAATATTAAGGTAACATATTTTAGTACTAAAATTTTTATTAAATGTCACTAAACATAAAATTCACATTATATCTGTCTCAAAATTGTAGAGAAAATATGCATGTTATCGTAAATTATGTTAACAATATATACCAACACAAAGATATAACTTATTGAAGAAATAAAAGAATGGTAAGTAAACCAAGCAAACATACATATAATACAATAAAAAAAATATTACACTTTAAAGCTAATACGCATGGCTTATTTAGAACTAGCTGCTAATATTGAAACATATCCATCAAGGCTCTTTACAAATACAATAAAAATTTAAACTATTGATATATACAATAATCACAATATCAAAGATGTATGATCTTATAAGACCTACTCTAAAATTTTTACAACTTAAAAATACTCTACCAATATACGGACACACTATTGGACCTATAATGTAAAGTTAACTACTATTTATAATAAAGTTGAGCATTGATTCTAGCTTGCAAAGGCTACAACAAGAAGATTGAATAGAGATGTTAATAAGAATGTCCAAATGATAAATATCACAGAATTACTAATAAAGTAGTACCAAGGTGGAGTATCCCTTCTTCATGAAATAAGCATATTAAGATTAAATATTAACATGATAATCTAAGCCAATTTGATAATAAAAAATATAGTTATTTAGTTCAGATCATTGTGGAAAATGACATAGATAGAGTAAAAGTAACATTATTTAATGCGATAGAAACTCTTATTAAATGCACACCAAAAGAATTCATTGTAGAGAAAAGAGAGATAACTCCTAACCTTTTTAAAAAAATAAATTAGAAACAAATATGCATGTTATCGTAAATTGTGTTAACAATATATACTAACACAAAGATACAACTTATTGAAGAAATAAAATAATGGTAAGTAAATCAAGCAAACATACATATAACACAATAAAAAAATATTACACTTTAAAGCTAATACGCATGGCTTATTCAGAGTAAGCTGCTAATATTAAAGCATATCCATCAAGGCTCTTTACAAATACAATAAAAATTTAAACTATTGATATATGCAATAATCACAATATCAAAGAGGTATGATCTTATAAGACATACTCTAAAAATTTCATAACTTAAAAATACTCTACCAATATACGGACACACTATTAGACCTATAATGTAAAGATAACTACTATTTACAATAAAGTTGAGCAATGGTTCTTGCTTGCAAAGGCTACAAGAAGATGATTGGATAGAGATGTTAATAAGAATGTCCAAATGATAAATATTACAGAATTACTAATAAAATAGTATCAAGGTTGAGTAATATCCCTTTTTCATGAAATAAACATGTTAAGATTAAATATTAACATGATAATCTAAGCCAATTTGATAATAAAAATTACAGTTATTTAGTTCAGATCATTGTGGAAAATGGCATAGATAGAGTAAAAGTAACATTATTTAACACGACAGAAACTCTTATTGGATGCACACCAAAAGAATTCATTGTAGAGAAAAAATAGGTAACTCCTAACCTTTTTAAAAAAATAAATTAGAAACACAAAAAATTATATATATATATATAAAATTAACATTTAGTCTCATTGAAACACAAAAATAATCAAAGTCTGTATTTCTAGAATTTTTATTGAACATCAAAAATGCATTTAACTTCTTTGTGAAGTAAGATGAGAAGACAAAACATGAACGAGCTCAGGAAAAAATAATTACATGAGAAATTCAGCTCCATCCTGATGTCATAATTAATATAGATGATGAAGACACAACTCTAAAATTGCTCAAGAAAAAGATAAAGGTGGACAATGATTGATCTTAACTCGATAAAAAAAACAGAAAGAACAAAAAATTTATTTTTTGAATATTTTTTAGAATAGCTTAAGTTTTTGAGTAAAACCAGGAATCTTTAGAAAGGATTTTCATGAACTCTTTTAAATATTTTTATATGGTTATGTGTATGCTTTTATCATATAAAATATACTAGAGTTAGCATTAACCTTTAGTCAGTGATTTTTTCTGAAGTCTATCAATTAATTAGCAACAAACTTCATATTCTCTTTAGTTTCATTGTAGCCCACTTTAATTAATCATCTTGGCTTTTTAGCTTTAATTATTCATATTTCTTTTATAACACTACTTTTTTTAAAGTGTTTTTCATTTATACAACATTATACTTTGAAGCTTGGTTTCATGTCGGTTCAAACCACATGAAAATTCAATTTGGCTTTAGATCACATTTGTTTCCTGTTAATTTAATTATCAACATAAAAATTTAAATTTGGTGTAGCCCATTCAAACAAACATCAAAGAAAATAAATAATCACAATGCTAAAATTTAAAGACATAAGTGAGCAAAAACGATTAAAGTGGAACCGAGGAACAAATTTTAGTAAGGAAATAAATTAAAAATATTTAATCATGTTATTTAACCATGTGCATTGTACGTGCATAAAACCTAGTGTGTGTGTGTGTGTGTGTGTGTGTGTGTGTGTGTGTGTGTGTGTCCATTGAGCACAATTCAACACTGTGCAAATATGTGATGTGCTCACGCTTAGAGGTACACCTGCCTCCATAGAAGTAAGTAGTTTTGTCAATCTTCATTAGGAAATGTCAAGTATTTTTAATTCACCAGAGTATGATTATTTTTTATATTCTCTAGCAAGTTTCTATTTTAGGGTCGGAACAGTGTCACTAAGTCGCGGATGGGGGATGAACATTTACACATAGGAGATTCACAATTATAGATGACAAACAAGTTCTTCTTAGGAGTCAATAGTACAAGCTGCACATTGATCCTTATACAATCAATGGAGAGAATAGGATGCACTTTACTCAGTACACAGAGTAATACACACTTAGCACACATAGCAATAACAAGATGCTTAATCACAGATAGCCAGCTGCTCCACATTCCTGAAGCCGGGGGCTCCGTTCAACTAATTCTGCAATAAAACACAAAGACAAGGATCAGCCAGTAATATTTATAAATCTGCGTTTGAAACCTAGAGGATTCGTTCTGATGGTAGCTCAATGTGAGGACAACAATGAAAAGTTTCAAACATTCGAGGAAATTAAAGGAAGGAAAAATAGACATTAGAAATTAGTTGATCTCCTATCATACTTGGAGCAATCCACATTAGGGGAGACAGTGAAAGGAAAGGTGATGTTGCAACTCCCTGGCAGTGCCTTTGTTGCTTTTGGGCTAGGGTTGACCTTGGATACAGCAGACATGATGCAACTGCATGCAGCCCTTCTATCAGCTGTTGTCGATGCAGCAGATGCCAAGGTCGTGACCCCATTGCAGCAAGCAGTTGACGGGCTTCCGCTGCCGCTTGTTAGATAGCTGACGCAGGGGGTCAAGTCCTTCAGAACATCATTGCACTGGAGGTCAGCCTCTGAGTTCTTGAAGAGCAGCAGTGAGAGAAAAAACACAGCGAGGATGGCAAAATATTGCTTCATGATTAAAAGTGTTTTGAATTTGGAGGTGCGCTTGGTTAGCTCTACTAGCTGTTTTGCTTTTTATAGTTACCCAGGAAGCTGCATGAGTGCAAGAAAAGAGAAAGCTTAGATAGTTTTTTTTTTCTTTTTTCATTTTTTTAATTGCATGGTTGATGCAGCTGCCATCGTGTGGTGAGAATTCTTGCACGGTTTCTTCTCCTAGAATTGTTTGATTAATTATGTCCTGAATTGGTTCGGCATTAGTGTTGTTACTGTACACACTTTTTTTTAACAAAAGACAAATCCACTATTTTCATGGGAGTATTGGTGTCAATAATGAAATGTAACTAGTTCAGATTTCTATACACACAGAAAATGGAGCAAGCAATTAGGATGGAGTAGGTTGGATTAATTTTTTTTACTTTGTCCCTACTGAAAAATGAGTCAGCGCTGACAACCATGCCAACCAATGATAAATAATGGGTTTGATTACCGAAAGACGAACTTTGTTGTAGCCATTTTGGCATTGAATCCAAACTCATTTTGTTTGATGCGTTCTCTCCAGTTTTTGACGGATGTTTGCATTCATTCTGGTTTCTGTAGGAGCGGAAATTGCATGAGCATAGATGGTTACAAAGCAACATTGACTTAGCTTTTGTTTTTATCATGTAGAGATAAAGAGCGAGAATCGGCAGGAGAATCAGGAGACTAGTAGCGAAGAAACTAATCATTGATTGTGTGCAACCTAATTTCAGCTACGAATTAACATTGATGATCAGAGGCAGGTAAGACAATAGTTTGCATTCCATAAAATATTATGGAGCTCTTGAAGACTAATAATGTTAGATACAATAATTAAGTGGAGGTAAGACGAAGTTTTGTATTCGGGATGTAAGTTTTACAAAATAGATCTACTTATTGATTTTAATTTGGTATAGTAGCATTCCAACTGTATCTTCATTTTCATTTTGAATTTTTTTTTGAGAAAATATTTTCATTTTTTATTAACTGAAGAAATCTATAATAATGGGAGATAAAAGCGCATTCTGCTTCACATACTGACAGCTACTCTTGCAATTTCACAAGTCTGTAGCTGAGGAGATCTATGCCCATCCTGTCTTGTTTTTTTTAAAAAGCAAGTGAAAACTTCTTGTCAACAAGTGAAGAACCAACCATCTCAACTGATGTTGACCAGATTACATAGGGAGATTTTCATAAACTGTGATAATCAATGCCCAAATTACAGAAGACCAAAATTTAGAGAGTATCTGTACAATTTTGATTGATAAAGCAGGAATATCAAATAAAATTATCAATTGACAGGTATCTCAGAGATATAAGACAGGTACTTGCATAAATAGTAGTATTCACCTTCTCAGTTTGAAATGCTTCTTTTTCATATAGCATAGTGGTCATTAAGTGGTCATAAAGTGATGAGAGGGGAAAAAAATTGTAAAACAGTTTTACCTCCTATACCGATTTGACATCCAAACATAATAAATCACTCACTGTTTTATTGAAGGTTTCACGTGTTGAAGTTCGGCTTTCCCTTTCTTCATGATAGCTTATGTAACTGTTTTGAAATGAAGTTTCGTTGATGAGGTTTCCATCATATAAAGACTTTTCAATGCTAGCAACAATCCGGCCAAAACCTTGTGAGTTACATTTTACATAAACCTCATTCACCTAGCATTATTCGATGTTGCCTGCCACCTTAATACCCATATCCTCTCAGTCTGAAACAGTCACTCCTCTGTTTCCTTCATCTTGTCATGCATTTTTCAAGCAAATCCTCTTCCACTAAAAGCCATTTTCACCCTTCTTTTCCATAAAAACAATATTTTCTCGAATTTCTCTATATCTAAATCTGTAGTCAGCATATACAATCCTTCTTAGTTATAAATTAATCTACAGACTATGTAGGGGAATGCAAATGCACTATGGGAACTCGATCAAAGACTGCATAACGTGAAATCATGAACATATTTCATGCAAATTGTTGATAGCCTTGGCCCCTTTTACGCCCAACAGAACCCTGGATCCAGGAACTGATGGCTCTTACACCGCTCGAAGTTAGATCAGAACAACTGAAATGATTGCTAATGAACATAAGAGCAAAAAAGGGGGAAAAAGATATGAGCAATATGAATCCCTAGTTCACATGTTGGAGGAAATTATATTTTCTTGAAGCAACTCGCTCAATGTTTACTTTTGTCTCAGTATAAGTATTTTAATTTGCTTGAATTTGTTTAGATACATAACTCCCTAGGGGGTATTTGAAGGTTTATTCCTTCTAATTTTAGTTCCGTTTTGTTTCTTTGTCATAATTGTCTTAGGAGATATCAAACCTAGTTCCATCAGTTTAATTAAGTCTAGGGTTCTACCTTTTCCCTTTTCTTCTTATCATGTCGTGCAATGATCAGGATTTGTCTTCTTATCTGAACTCCAGGTCCTTATTAAGAAACTTTGTTTGTTTTGCAAATTGTTCTTTGTTTTGATGGCAAGTTACATGTCAACAGAAGCAGAGGAAATGTGTTCTCTTGTTCTCAACGAGGGTGCGAATTCATGTACTAACATTAACATATGATATTACCATGAATAGATACATATTTAAAAAATATTCACATTGAAAGTGATAAGGCATTTTAGTTTTTTCTTCAAAAGCATACGTTATATGACTCTTGCGAATGTCATAGACATGTTAGTCCTAATCCATGCAGTTGAAATATGATTGATCCTTTAAACATAGTATAAACGATCATTTAGTTCAATTGCAGATTTTTCTTTCATATAGCGTAATTTTTAATTAACCAGATTAATCAAATCTTATTTACCTTGTTCCATGTTTTCAGGTGGGTTGATTGTAACATGACTTGCTGCCTGGAAGCATGTCGAGTGGTTTTCAAACTCCACCATTTGGATGACCCTTTTCTCGTGAACTCGGTAAGAGAATAGACATCTTATACTGAGATTTCTTTGTTGTTTTTCAGAATGGGAAAGCAATTCCCGGTATCTAAGATGATCTATTAAATCAATCATATATTCAAGAGTTCATTCATGTACACTCTTCAGTTATCTTTTGCAAAAGAAAGCAACATAAATCTTTTATGTTTTTCACAAGAGATTGATGGGTGTTAACACGCATGGATGCATTTACACTTTAATATTTTTTTCTTCAATTATTTTATCATGTTACCTCTATATATAATAGTAAAGGATGCAGCTAGTTGGCAGAGTGTTGTTTCTGAAGTAAATGAGAAACTGAACTTATTTAAGAAAGGAGTAATGTGAGAATTTGGAGAGGGGGAAAAAATCTTGCAAAAGTTAAAGTTTAATAAAAAATAATCAACTGGGAAATCTAGTACGCCCAAGCTGACTATAGCGTATGTCCAACCTTCTGTAACAGAAGGTTGGATCCTTTAAAGAAGTTCTGTTAAGACCATTAACTTGAATTAGCATAGGGAATCAGGTGACCTAGATTATTACATGTTTGACTACTTTAAAGAATTTGAAAAATTGACAGTCTCGTGCTGAGGCATATTCACCCTTGGAAGTAAATAATATTTGTAAATTCGCATGGGGAAATAGGTCAGCAGTCTTGTGAATTTCTCCTATGCATGACTGATTTTGTGCTAGAAAAGTATTCAGCTGTGTGCTCTTGGAAGTGGAAGATGGATAAACTAAGCGAACTGAATGATGATGCATTTTATTGGTTCGTGTAAACACTTTGTAGTTTAGTCTTAGCAATCAGTAGGCGACTTCCCATTTTATGAACATGTCACTGTAATTCTTTCTGAAAACAGGGAAAACAAGTGAAATCTTTGAATATGAAGATCTTCAAATGAATAAGAAACATGGCCTTCTTAGGACTAATATCACAAGCAAACCGTTCATCATATATAGATTCATACAACAGAGCGCATAATAAGCGCTTTGGTTATCTTATTACAAGTACAGTAATACAAACACACATCTCAGCTGCGGCAACATTAAGTCACTTAAGCACAAGTAATATCTCCTCCACATCCCTAAAGCCAGGGACTCATTTTAACTAATTCTGCAATCAAACACAAGACGAGAGTCAGTCAGAACAATTCGTTATGCTCAACAGTAGCTCTTGTTAGTCAACTTGAATAATAACAAAACTAAATTAAATCTGTGTTTCTCTAGCTACCACATTTTTGTTCATGTGAAATATATTAGTTTATGAGGCTTTGATTCCGCAAAAATGACATGCTTAGGGGTGATGAAGGTGTGAGCAAGAGAAAACGGCTCCTGACAAGTGAAATGCTCGCTTTTATAGCTCATGTTTGATTACTGGATTCCTCTTCATGTGTAAGTCAACATATTGACAGGCAAAAATATTGATGGAACAATGTTGTGTCATTGTGCGTTCTTTTGTATATTTTAACCATTTAGTGGAATTAAAAGGAATGAAAAAGAAAGAGAAAAATATCTTATATCATACGTGGAACAATCCAAACTGGGAACGACTGCGTAAGGCAAACTAACGCCACAACTCCCCGGCAGTCCCTTCGCTGCTGCAATGTTAGGGTTGATCTTCGACACAGCTGACTTGAGGCAGCTACAAGCAGCCCTTCGATCAGCAGTTGTTGATGCAGCCGAGGCCAAGGTCGAAACCCCACTGCAGCAAGCAGTGGAAGGGCTCCCATTTCCACTCTTCAGGTAGCTGATACAAGGAGCTACGTCCTTCAAAACAGTATTGCAGTCGATAGCAGCCTCTGAGTTATGAAAAATCAGCAGTGAGAGAAACAAGAGAGCTGAGATTGCAATGCATGGCTTCATGGTTGCTGATGGTTAAGATGAGCTTGAGTAGTCTTAGTGGTGAGGTTTGGTATTTATAGAGGGTAGGAGGTTGTATTTGAGTGCAAGAAAAGTGAAAATTTGGGTGGTTTTGTTTATTTGGGTGGGTGATGTAGTGTGTGAAAGTGTGGTATGGTTTCTCTTTCATTGGTTTCTTCTTATTTTTAGCATGATTAGGAAACTGTTCTTATGGGGCAAAGTCCAGTGAGAGTTTACTTGTATTATGTTGAGAAATAGGAAAAAGTCAAGATATTATATATTATTCATCTAACTCTTATCTTTCTTAAATAAAGGTTAGGAGGATATTACAAAATGGGTATTGGACAAGATCATATTCAATCATATCCTTAGTATCTCTCAATCACATATTCCTAATATATTATTCCTAATAGCATAGATTTCTATAATGTATTCTTTAACACTCTCCCTCAAGCTGGAGCATGTATATCATATTTGTCCAGCTTGTTACAAATAAAGTGCACACACTAATCTGTGGTGATGCCTCAAAGTAATCTTAATCTTCTTATCATTCACTTGGATGTCTTCAAATCAGCTAATCCTCTCTATGGCTCCACCAATTAAATAATCCTTCTAGAATCCAACAATAAATGACTCTTTTCAGGATCCAGCAACAAATGATACTTCGTTGAAGGATCCAACAATAAATGAACCTTCTTTAAAGGATCCAACAATAAATGATTCTTTCTTGAAGGATCTAACAATAAATGATCATTCCTTAAGAATTTAAAAAACAAATGGTGGAGTTAATGTTGGGCTCGAGCAAAGATGGACAAGGAGGCGGAGGTTGACAATGAGGATGAAATCGAATCGTTGAGATCTAGGCGAGATCAATCATCAAAGGTGAGGATTTATTGCATGAAGGTGATAGGCGGTCCATATGAACAACTCGTGCCGAACAATACCGGGGATGAACAGTACCGATGGACAGCATCCGCAATAAACAGTAGCACCCTTCGAACTGCACCATCGATGAATAGTATCGTAGATGAACAATACCACAGATGAACACCGCTCAAGTGTTAACAGTGCTATTTTGCGAAGCAGCGAGATTAGGCTAGGGTTTTGCTGTGAGCGGAGGTTATGAGTGATAGAGCGATGCGTCATGGTTGAATCCGATGTCGAGGCCGCTGAGGGGAAGCATGAATTTTTTGGCAACCCCCCCCC